TATTTCTCTACATTCAAAGAACTACTGACTAACTTTAATGAGATTTCTTTGTATCATTCTACAAAATTATTGTTGGGATCAGTGTTCAAAAAATCGAGCCGGCCTCGGAAACTAGGCAAGGGCTGGTTCTGAGTAATTGATAAACCGTTCAGCTCAATTGGGCAAGTCCTGCCCTGTCAAAAAAATGTTAAAAAAAAATCAAAAGAATGCAGAAAAATTCTAAAAATATATATGGAAAGTATATTTAAAGCATGATTAAACAAAACACATCAAAATGAAGTTGAAAAAATAGCGAAAAAATGGATTTTAAAATATCGATTGTACCAAGGGGTATTTCTGAAATTTTACAAAAAAGATGGGAAAATGAAAAAATAAGTATTCATGGCCAAAGCACTACGCAATCTTTGCTAAAATGATAAAAAAAAAAAACATTAAAAAATGAATTACAAACATTAAAATTTTTTTTTCTAAATACTCGGCATAATCACCAAATTCGGTCAAAACCATAATCGAACCAAAACCAGTTGGCCAGCACTCGATTCCGATCTAACCGGCCAGTTCCGATATGAACCAGTTGATATTGCAAACAGTGGTTCGGATACATATAAAATATAATTGCAACTAGAATTGAAGCTTAAAGTAATGTAATGAGTAAAGTTATGTGGGTCCTAACTATTGATGCTTAATTTGGTTTATCCAAGTAAACCTCCTATAATGATCGAAGTAATAGCTATAATCTAATTGGGATTAGTGGAAAATGATAATTTTTGTTACGAGGAACTGATAAGAAATCCAAAGCTTTCAACGTCCTACTAAACTTTTTACATGCCACCAACGATCAGAGGTCCTAAACTTTCAAATTCCTACTTAAGTCACATGCATCCAATAGAGGGGGAGAGAGGGAGGGATAACGTTAACAAAAAAAAAATATCACGGGAGATCAGAATACCCAGGTTTGCTTTCTTGGATTAAATCCAAAACCAAAAAATAAATAAATAAGAAAAAATATACAATAAAAATGTTTACCTTTGAAATAAGAAAGTCCCAATTACTTTTAGCCGTAAAATCCAATAATTGAAAGTGTGTTGATGACCGAGCCCCATGCCGAATTGTTTTTTCCAATCCATCTAATTTCACATTTGACAGCTAATAAATTTTTATACGTTCTTGTATTAATGATGAACAATTTTATAATTTACCATTTAAAGGAGGTCAATTCCAGGTCCCATATCATTGTCGGACCCAAACCCGACCCGATCCGATCCGATGGGACCCCTACACATGACACTCGCTAAAGCAACCAAAAAATTATCACGGATTTACGCCAAAAAGTGGCAGAACAAGGCACTATATGTACATGCACAAGGACAAGGACAAAGAGCTCGTTCAAAAAAATTTCAATAACTGCTAAATTTAGAAAGAGGCCCTCCAAATTAGGGGCACCACCAAAATAGCGGAAAGGCCTCTTCCCCACGAGACATTCAAGTGAGCGTGACACCCCACGCGCCCCTCGCACGACCCGTGCTGCGCAGATATCGACCAGCCCGACAAAATTAGAGCTTAATGCAGAAAAGCCCTCATGTATTAATTACAATATTGACCTTGATCACGTACAACTATTTTGAATGTCAAATGACGAATTTGCCCATGCTGGGCATGCATGTTCTCATGAAATGGGTGTGGTTCGTATAAGACGCCTATCTATAATCTAAATGGATATAATGTAGAACTACGGATGCACTTCAAAAATCCATCGGAAAAGGTAGTTTTAATGTTAAAAAACCCTGTGATTGATCATCTCGACATCGAGATGTATAACCATGAAAAATAAAAAGATTTTAAATCTCATAAATAGTGCATTTTACAACATATTATCTACACCGTCCATTTTCAAGATTTTCATATGTTTATAGATCTATTTGATTTTAACCATTTTTTAAATTTAAAATTTTATAATTAGATATAAAAATAGATTTCGAGATAATCCTAAGAACATTTTACATCAAAATTATATAACATGATAAAATTTTAAGGCGCCCCTTACCTCTACAGCTACGGATGCATCCATATGCCAACTGCACTCAATCTAAAATTTGCTGGAAAAACCTTATGATGGACTGAAAAATTTATGTTTGCCTGATTATGAATCTTAAAATTTTAAAATAGTATAAATCAAGCAGATCTATAGATATTTGAAAATATTAAAAAATAGACAGTCCAGATAACTTGATACAAGATGTAATATTTTTAGGATTTGAATTTTTTTTTATGTCTATGCATGTGGAGGTCGAGATGATCAATTTGGAGGTTTTCCAACTTAGAAACACTCTTTCTATATTGAATTTTTGACGCGCCGATTATTATTTCTATTAGATTGCAACCTTATCTAAACTTTTTCCTGTTCATATGAACATGTGTAATTGACCATTTAATTAGTGTGGGGTATTGGGCTTTCGAATATGGACTTGGCTTCTCGTAGGGGAAGGATCCTATCAAAAATAGATATTTACTTGTTGGATTAAATATAAAGAAAACATGAAGAATAGTAACAATCGAGGAAATAATTTAGAAGTATATTAATGCAGCATAGGTGGATGTCATATATCTGAGGAGATTATAGTATCCCCTTTCCATCATCAAGAATGGACGGTGGATGTCCTAGTCGTGTATCGTCACATAGCATATACCTATACTATACCTAAATTGTACGAACATAAACGCCACCCTCATTCACTTTTTATCAAAAGGATGTAGTTTTTATAAGGCCCAGGCTTTATAGCCTTGAATCGAATCCTCATCGAAAAAGTACTTTGGACATTGGATATCTTTAATAAGGCTCCAATATCAATTTTGAATACTAATTATAGACTTTGAAGCTCAATAAATAATACGGATATTGTAGATCAGTTAACACTATTTTTAAGGCAAAATGAATCATCTAGATAATGAGTTACAATATACACTAATTTTTAATGCTTTAAATCATTTTTTTTACAACCATCACAATCAAGACCTATACGATCAATTCAAGATGATCAATTTAAAGGTTTTATTGTGCTAGAATTGCAATTTTTGTTGAGTTTTGAGCTGAAGTTTTATTTATTTTGATAGGGCTACAACTCTATCTAAATATTTTGCGTGTCACAATCATATGCATTGTTATCTAGTGGATCAGAGGGGACCAAGTAAGCCCATGGAATCTCTTACCCATTATTGATGAAATTAAAGATATCTCCAAAGGTTTTTAGTATATGTGAATTACATTTATCAGAAAATGCATAGAGGAGGGGATATTTGCTGCTTATTACACCAATATAAGGTCCTTATCAAATTTTAAATGGGATCGTATAATATGAGACTATTTATCTTTGTCACAAGTAGATTACAATTCTCATAGCCATTAGATGTCAAATCGGATGGCTTAAAGTGTCTCACGAAGTTCAATATTTTATTTTATTTTTACTTTGAATCTTGTTAATGACACTCTTACAATCATCCAATTCAAAATCTAGAAAACAATAGTGATTGTGACCTCCTTGTACCAAAAATAAAAAGTCTCTTTATGTACTCTTCCTTTTCCTATAGTCATTATAGATATTTCCTATGATGTCTTTATATATTCTTTTTTTTTGTGTAGTCTTTAGAAAATATTATATAAAGCACATCAGTTTTGTTGGATAATGAAAGTTATAGGCTAACATTCTAAAAGAAAATTGTGTGCACACATCATATTAATGAGAATTTTGGAGTTATACCTGGACTCAGTGGTCCCTCAGGATTTAAAATTTTGTACTTAGGAAAGTGTAACGAAAATTCAAACCAAAATAACCTACTATTTTTGAGGCCATGGCTTTTGACCTGGTACAATGACTTAAGGGGCCATTGGTTAAGATTCAAGATTCGGATCCCACCTGACCTCTTTCAAGTTACTCACCCTTTTGTACATGAAAAAGCGATATCAAATGCATAAATATATAATGACCATGGGCTCTTTGAGTATGATTTGGTACCAATTTAGTGTAGCAAGGGCTGTAGCATGGTAGAAAACTTTGGGAGGGAAACATAGGTCAAGAGTGAGAACCCTCCCAAATTTTAATTTATTGGAGTTTTTTATTATTTATTTTTGTACATGAGGTACTAATCGGCCGCCTTTTAATAAAATTTGGATTAAGGTTGCATATGTTATTATTTAGAATATGGTTTGTATAAGGTTGCAACCATAAACAAATCCAATTAAAGCACACCTCTAAATTTTATCAAAAATGTAATTTTGACATAAAAAATTCTTAAGATGTTTTGAGAATCTATTTTAATATCTAATAAGTTTTAAATTTTAAAAATGGTTCAAATCAAGTAGATCTATGAACACATGAAAATATTGGAAATGTAAGGTCCAAATAATATGTTGCAAGATATACTATTTTGCGGATTTGAAATCTTTTTTTTCTTTTCATATTCATACATCTCGATCTCGAGATGATCAATTAGAGGATTTTTCAACATCCAAAAAAACTTTTATGATTGATTTTTTAGGTGCACTTTTAATTCACATTTTAAGGTTGCCACCTTATGCAAACTATTTTCTATTATTTAAGCCCAGAGAACTATATAATATAACTAGTTGACACAAATCGCACTAGAAAATCAAGCATGTATTATTATTTAAGCACTACGATCGGTATTGTATTGTCCATACACATCACATAAAAAATCTCGTCTCAATTTTCATATCCAATTTATATTGTTTAATTATAGTGGCCAATACCAAAACAAGTCCTTTAAATTGTCTTTATCATCAAGCAAGGAAATTGACTTGATGCAAAGGGTGATGAAGAGGACAATTTCGTCCAACGAAAGAGTCCAAGGCCATTTTAGTAAATCTCCCAGTGCAGGTCATATTTGGGAAGTTTTGAAAACACGAGGGCATTTTGGACGCTCAAGGAAGTGTCTAAATATAAAAGCGTGGCAAATGGAGCTTGTATTTTTAGACTTGATGGCATTCGCCTCTGATTTCCCGCTTACCAGGTCCTCCTCGTCCTCTGAATCAGTACTCAGTTAGGGTTAGGGTTTCGTTTTCTTGATTGAGGTGCGATCAATTCATGTAAGTTTGAGCAGATCCTCCTCAATTTCATGTATTTTTTCAGCTGCTTGTTGTTAATCTTTGTACCCTCTAGTCCACAGTGATCTGCTCACTGTAGTCTTTTATGGCTTTTTACATATTTTTCTGAGATGTTGCACCTCTTTTCTTGCTTTAATTTTGCGTTGTTTTCATTAACTCTGCTATTTTTGGTAAGTTTCTGCATATTATATGCTGCGTTTTGGCAAAAGTTTGCTACTTTTGATGAATTTGGACTCGTTTTTTGCTGCATTCTCTCTTTGGTATTGCATCTGGCGAGATTTAATTGGTTTCTTGTTTTGAGGTTTATCAATACATTTGGTGAATATCTGCATGACCTTTTACTGTATTTTTGGCTAGTCATTTGAATATCTAGCCCTTTTTTTCTACAAGTAGTAGTTTTTACATTTTATTGCTTCATTGTGTGAGATTCCATGCATACTTTCTGCTACATTTGGTGTAGGGCTTTTCTTTGGCTCACCGTGACAATTCTTTGCATCTGAAGAGTTTCTGTTCTCTTTTCAGTTATTTGGTAGTCATATTTTTTGCTTTGTTTCTCTAAGTTTCTGAATAATTTTCTATTTAAGGTTCCTTTTCTTTGTTTCTACATTTGTGATGTTGAGGTTGTATGTTTGTACCTTTTTTTATTTTTCCCTGTTATTTAATACAATTGTTAATTTCTGTCTTTTCTTCCACATTTTATAGTTTTTAGCTTTCGTTTCCGCTGTTATCTAGTTTTTTGGCATATGCATCTACTTCTGCAGAGCTTTTGCATATATTCTGCTTCATCTTATGCATTTTCACATTTTCAGTAGCACTTTGTAAGCTGTGTTCCCGTTGAGTACTTTCTTGGATCTCGTTTCCTGCATCTGATGCATATCCCATGAAATGTATTTGATGATCTCTGTTTTGAAAGACCTTTTACCTTGTTGAGTTTTGTAGTCAAAGTTACTAATCTAGCCATATTAAATTTAGAAGTTGCCTTGGAGTATCAGGCACCTTCAAGGGGAAGATATGGAGCTTGTAAGAAGCTAACACTGCTTGTTTAGGCATTCCTTTTCCTGCCCTTGATGCGATATTTTAGCAGTTTCGTTTTATCTATAAGAAACTTTTTGGACCACCTTGATTTCAGATATTTTTCTGTGTTTTTCCTGACAACATGAACATCTAGCATAAGTGCTTGCAGATTGCTTTCTATTGTTGTTTTCCTGGGCATAAATTAGATATAATATTGATGTTATTCTGGTTTTCTATTTTTTTTCTTGCATGCAATCAAATAGCTCTGATGATGCTTCTATCGTTTTCTTGGAGGCTTAAGCTTTCTTGCATTCATGCATTCGAACAATTACTAAAGCTAAGTGTTGTATTTAGAATGTCAAAAGAATTTGTAAAATGTCAAGACAAAGAATTTCAGAACCTTTACTGTTTTCGTGTTACTAAGCTCAATTCACTTCAGTCTTACATTCCGTTCTGTATTTTCTGTTGGGGTTTACCAAAACTTTGGGGGAATTTCTGTAATTGAGCTCAGTGCTATTGAATTTTGTATTTTTTTTTCTCTCTAAAGACTTCTTGATTATTCCAAGTTCAGTGTCATGCTACCTTTGCAGGATCTTTATTCTGGGTTGTTGTATGAGACTCTGTTGACTTAGTCATTTATGTGCCCTGATGTTAAGGATAAATGGTTTTTGGGGATTTTGGGAGACAATGCCATCTAGATAAGTTTATTGGTTTGACATCTTTGCAGGCATTATGGAAACTGAAGATTCTAATCCTGAAACTCGAGCAAGTCATTCAAGTCCAGCTGAAAAACAACCAGATCAGATAACTGATCCTAAAGCTAGCAACAGTGAGGAAATAATCCAAGACTTCAACTCTCTGAATGTCACCAAAGAGAACTCAGCTTCACATGGTGATAAAGGGGAGTCTTTGGGTCGCCAAACCCATGAAGCAAAGGCGTTAGAATCCGAATCCCCTGAAGAATCAAAACCAAATTCAGAGGAAGGTTTCCCTGAGGAGAAGGTAGCTGAACCTGTTTTCGATGGAACTGAGAATCCAGAATTGGAAGCGACTAAAGGTTTATCAAGCCAAGCCTTAGATTCTGATTCAGAAGTGCAAAGCTATGTTTGGCCTGAAAAGGCAACAGCCCTAAAAAACTATGTCAAAGAGAAGGGTGCTGTTGCTGTTTCTACAGTCCTTCGCCGTCTTTCTGGCAAAAGAGATGACAATGAGCAAAGTCTTGCTGAAAGTGAAGAGAGGAGTGACTACAAAAATGCGGAGGATGGTAGCCCTGGAACTAAACCAAAAGAGTTGTATCAGAAAGCTGGTTGGAACCCATTAAGCCTAATTAGAGGTTCAAGAGATTCAAATACCCAAGTGCACACTGAGCAAGGGGAGGATGGGTACCAAGACGGTGAAATGCAAGAGTCAGCAATGAAAGGCAGAGTAATATTGTATACAAGGCTTCGATGCCCTGATTGTCGGGAGATGAGGTCTTTCCTGCGCCAGAAGGGCCTCAGGTCTGTAGAGATCAACATCGATATCTTCCCAAGTAGGAAATTGGAGTTGGAGAAGAACACCGGTTCTTCTTCTGTACCTAAGATTTTCTTTAATGATCTGCTAATTGGGAGTTTAAAGGAACTAACGGGTATGGATGAGAGTGGAAAGCTTGATGAGACGATTAACAATGTGCTTAACATGGAGCCATCTCTAGCTGCTGCTATGCCTCCATTTCCTGGCGAGGATGATGTCTCGAGCAGTGGTATGGTTGATGAGTTTGCCATTATTGTGAGAAAAATGAAAGAGATTATTGTTGTGAAGGACCGGTTCTACAAGATGCGCAGGTTTAGCAACTGTTTTTTGGGGTCAGAGGCTGTTGATTTCCTGTCTGAGGATCAGTACTTGGAACGAGAAGATGTAAGTCGCAACAATTTTTTATTGGTTTGATGTAAGTCACAACAATTTTTAATTGGTTTTGTATTTTTAATCCAAATGTATAGGTTGTTATAGCCATGAGTGGGAAAATTATCCTTGGATTTCCCTTTGGTGATTCCAGCTAAAATTCTTCTGCCTTTTCTAATCTATAAGATGTTCCCTTGGCACTTTCCTAGTTTGTTCTATGAAATTTGTTCTGTGTGCATGCATGCACATTGCACACACACACACTTGCCCTTGCATATATATGGCTTCTGATATTGTGTTGCCTGTGAGCCAGGCGAGTCAATAAGTTTCACCCATTTCTAAACATGTATGAGTCTACTTGTTTTAAGACTTGGGACGTACTTTTTCCGATTGTAACCAATAATGGTTGGAACTTGTAGCTCTTTTCTTGTTTAAATGTTCAAATTTCATAGTTCGATTAACAGAAAGGAATGTAGAAATCATCAGAGTCCACCAGTGTCAGACCTTGTGTTCCTCTACAAAACCTCATTCTAGTGCGTCATCACAGATATATTTTCCCTGTGCTCTGCTCAGGGATGTTTTACCAGTAATTTTCTGGGCTTTGTGAGTTTTCTCATATACTCTGTGGCGCCAATAATTCAGTTGATACATTGTCTAGGAATTGCATGTTTTTATGGTGCTTCTGGTCAGAGATTTGAGGTTCTTGTCTTCTTGTGACGCTCACTGAAAAGCATTTTCCCTTCATAATTTGAGCTTCTAGGTTATTTTGTTTTGAATCTTTAAAGCTCCGAGAATACCACCAACTTGCGGAAGTCATCACATATCTTTGGTGATTTTGTCTTACAGGCAGTGGAATTTGGAAGGAAGCTTGTGAGCAAACACTTCTTCCGCCATATTTTAGAGTAACTCTCCACTCTTAAGCTCATTGCATGCCATATGTTTTTGCCCTGAGTAACTTGAAACCTATGCACTTATTACATGCTATATTTTTTCTCTTTTAAATGCATTCCATGCGTAATTGCCTTGCCATTTTGTTCTGTTTTGGTTTATGATCTTTTTTTTTTTTTTGAGAATGGTTTATGATCTTTTGCCTACCCTAACTTGAACTGAATCCTTTTATAGTGAGAACATCTTCGAAGATGGTAACCACTTCTACCGTTTCTTGGAGCATGATCCGATTGTCATGGCACAATGCTACAACCTCCCAAAAGCAGGTCACGGAAATGATGTGAAGCCTAAGCCTCTAAATGAAATTGCATCAAGGTTGAGGTTCCTATCTTTTGGAATCTTTGAGGCCTATGTTTCTGAGGATGGAAGGCATGTTGACTACAGAGCAATACGATGCTCTGAGGAATTTGCCAGGTTTGTCTCATCTCTCTCAGTTTATTATGAAGTAAAAGTATCAATCATATGAGATTCATGATGGATATTTTGATATTGCAAACTCCTAATTTAACAGGAAACTGTGTTATGCATCATTTCCCTCCTATCATTTATATGAGCTTAGAATTCTATACTACTTTCTGAGTCCTGACTAAAAGGTGTTTAAAAGTAGAAACTGTTAATTTTAAATTAGTGAAAAGCTAATCGCACAAACATAAAACCTATTACCATGGCCTATAACTTTTTCATCGTTCTGCACTTTAGGTACTTGAGAATAACTGAGGAGCTTCCAAGGGTGGAACTTTTAGATATATCTAGGGAAGAAAAGCTTGCGTTCTTCATCAACTTGTACAATATGATGGCCATCCATGCTATCCTATGGTGGGGTTACCCAGCTGGAGCTCTAGAAAGGCGTAAGCTCCTTGGAGACTTCAAGTATGTCGTTGGAGGCAGTGCCTACTCTCTGTCTGCCATACAAAATGGCATATTGCGTGGGAACCAGCGCCCCCCTTATAATCTCATGAAACCATTTGGCCTGAAGGACCCAAGATCCCAGGTAAGGCTTGGAATTAGCACATATCTTTAGTGACATAGTACTAGTTCTATGAAAAGATGAGTTCATAGAAACTTAGATTTGAAAATCATTTTTACTTGTAAATTTCAAAAAAAGGAAAAAAAAGAAAAGAAAATCATGGTTACTTGTCTTCTTCTTCCCATTGTATAATGTTTCTAGCAGTTCAAAGTTCTGATTCTTTCCTTCAATTTGCATGAGAAAAATCACTTTAAAATATGCCAAAAAAGTATCGCACCATATGGTGCTAAGTTACCAATGGTGGCACAGAGAGTACCTTTCGATATGGTGACAGATAATGGCAATTTGTACCCCTACCTGTAATATCTTCTGAGGTCTATTTCCATGGAAGCTTAAATTTAATAAACATGGGGAAATTTTGTTTCTTCTTTCTTCTAATTTCTAGTTCTTAGGTTTTTCCCCTTCTTAAGCTTCCTATGAAACAACAGACTTTGAAAATCTCCTGAACAATCACTTTATCGAAATTCGAAAATTGTGGCCCAGAGGCCCAGTTGTCCCAGGTCACCAAGAAATGCAACCATTATAATGCTTATTCCATTTGAAAGAAAGAAAGCTCATTGCATGATTTTCATCATTTTGCTCTCACTTTTTATCTTCAAATATATTGCTAGTGCATACGTTTGATTTCTTTAAACTTGTGTTTTTTCAGGTGGCTTTGCCATACCCAGAACCCCTGGTTCATTTTGCACTGGTTTGTGGAACCCGGTCTGGCCCTGCTTTACAGTGCTACTCACCTGGTGACATTGATCAGGAGCTCATGGAGGCTGCCCGCAACTTTATCCGGAATGGCGGTCTTGTCCTCAATGCCGAAGCCAAAACAGTGTTCGTTTCAAAAATTCTCAGTTGGTGAGCCTTAAAACTCAAAAAAGAAGAGAGAGAGGGGGGAGGGGGAGTTTCCACAAACTGATTTGGGATTTGTTAAACAGTTACTCTGCTCTGTTTGTGTGTCCCAGAGAGAGAGAGAGAGATCTCTGACTTGTTTTTTTTATTTTGTCCCGAATTAAATTTCTTTATTAGGTTTTGGTTGTTAATTTGTTGTCTTCTCTCAATGTATTTAGGTTGGTGATTTTATATTTAGCGCATTCTTGCAGGTATAGTGTAGACTTTGGCAAGATTGAGACAGAGGTGATCAAGCACGCTGCAAATTACTTAGAAACATCGAAGTCGGAGGAGCTGCTGGAGTTGCTTGCTGGCGGCCAGTTGAAGGTCGTGTATCAGCCTTATGACTGGGGTTTGAACTGCTAATCTCTCTCTCTCTTCTCTCTCTCTCTCTCTGAGATGCCCATCTATCACACTGACCAGTGGGTGCTTTGAGGAAAAGATAGGCTTCTTAGCATGTCGAAGATGGCCGCACAACTGAATATAGAGTTGCAAGACCCTTTTCTTTTTTTGGGTGACAATTTAATAGAGAAATGATAATATTGGTAAGATGCCATACTACCATGAATACACTTTGTGACATTTTTTTTTTTTCTATGTAATTTTACATTTTTTTTCCCCATGATTCTACATATGTTTTTGAAATATCTTTTTCTTGAGGACCTGTAATTTTTGCGATGTAACCTCCTCAATTGAGCGAGCAACCTAAAAATTAACAAAGAAAAGAATAAACTGTTTCTGCATGAAGAAAAATAATGGCTTGGGAAATAGAGACTGTCCAAATTTGCACAGTTAGTCAGATTGAAGAAATAACTCAGAATACTTCTTTTTCTAATGCTCATTTGATGATTCTAAAGTTGAACTTAAAAATTTTAAATCGAGAAATCCTCCTAAGTAGGTCTTTTGCCGAGGGACTAAACTGCTCCCATGAGAATATGCTATATGAAATTATGCTCCCTCTCTCTCTCTCTCTATCTCCCCAAAAGCTTTAATCTACTCAAATTGATGTGGTGCGTTGAATAATCTTCTTTGTTGGTTGTATGAGAGAATGACAGTAAATATAAATTGAGACTTTGAGGACAATATTTACTAGTATTTCTGAAGACAGTTAAATTGATATGGATCTCAGTCTTTTTTTAATTAATTGGGTTAGCTTAAAATTGATATGGATCTTAGATTCTAAATTTCCCATATTTCCCCACTAGACACTAAGAACACAACTGATCAGTTTTAGAAGACTTGATAAAGCCTAAGATTCAAGAATAAACCAAAGAGCATCAGGCACATAGAAATGGTTTTTTTTTAGCACAAGAAAGATGGCATTGGATTTTATGATAAATAATAAACAACTAACATCCGACAATAAAAGAAAAATCTCTAGTTCTCTTTGATTGCAAATATTTATTCTTGGGTGCTCTCCTCAAGGCAATCTCTTAAATTTATTTTCAAAAAATCTTGGCATCGTTTTTAATCTTCAATATAATAAAAAAGGAAAGCTTAACAAAAATTATAAAACCAGAACTACTTTCCTCACTTCACCAATAATCACCACAAGAACAATGTCCACCCTCAAAGTGATGGAACCTGTTAGAATCCCTCACAACAATCACTCTGCCCACCACCTTGGCCATCAACTTAATTGCACCATGACAGTCATTACACACCCTCAAGTTCTTCATAACCCGGATTGTGGATCCCTCTGGCGTACTGATCAATGCGAAAGCAATTGCCAATTTCTCACTGTGATACCCCACCATCCTCTCCTTAGCCTCCTCCTCCACATCATGCAATACAGAGCTCAAATCAGGCACATATCCCACCTCCCTAATCTCCTCTAATAACCTCTCAAGCCTCTCATATATGGCCTCTTTCATAGGATGGTTCAAATCCTCGGCCCCAAACACATGAATGTCGCCCTTGATTCGAAGCCAACTACACCCAAGCCCTTTACGAACCCCTCTCTCCTTCATCACTTTTCGAATTCCAGATGCCTCTTGCCAAAGCCCACGCGAAGAGTATAGGTTTGCCAAGGCCGAGTAGGCCCCTGCATGGCCTGGCTCAATGCCTAACAATTTATCAGAAGCCCACTTGGCTCTTGCAGTGTCGCCATAGGTCTTACAAGAAGCCAACATGGCACCCCAAACCACAACATCAGGTTCATATGGCATGCGAATTATGAACCCTTCAGCCTCTCGAAGAAGCCCAGCACGAGCCAACATGTCAACTACACATGCACAGTGGCTGGCCTCAGGCTCTACATGGCATGCGCAAGCCATGGCGGTGAAATGACGTAGCCCCTCAACCACGAGGCCACTATGGTTGCATGCCATCAGAACCCCAAGGTATGTAACCCCATCGGGTGCGATGCCTAAGGCTAACATCTCATTGAATAAACGCAAGGCCTCGAGACCCTTCCCATGTTGTGCAAGAGCACTGATCATGGAGGTCCATGTGACACCGTCACGCCCACATGCGTGCTCAAACACACGCTTTGCTGCCCCAACATCACCACACCGAGCATACATGGCCACAAGTGAGTTCGAAACAGATGCTTTCTCGACCTCAGTCTCAACCTCCTCCTCACTTTTGCGTAACACTCGTGCGTGTATTTGTTTCCCGTAATCCAATGCAGAGAGAGTACCACACAGACTAAGTACACTTGCAAATGTGTATCGATTGGGTTCGGTGCCATGAGATAGCATTTCTTTGAAGAGGTTTAGGGACTCCTCATCAGCTCCTTGTTGTGTGTAGCCAACGATCATCGCCGTCCATGCCACCACATCGGGGCTTTCCATTGATTTGAAGAGCTCATGTGCCATCTCGAGGTCACCGTACTTTACGAACCCATCAAACAATGCTGTGATTGCTATGTCGTCTACATGAGCACCCATTTCACGAACCACACTCTGGGCCATATCTATGCTCCCCGACTTGGCATACATGGCGACAAGCGCATTGCCTACCGGACCATCAAAACTTTTGAATGCACCACTCCGGACCATGCGACCATGCACTGCCCTTCCCTCAAGCACTGCACCCAGGCTCGCACACGAGCTTAATACGCTAGCCATCGTGAATCCATCAGGCACGAACCCCTCTTCTTGCATGCTTACAAAATGACCAAGTGCCTCATCGTCAAACCCATGCTGGTTAAGCCCTGCAATAATAGTATTCCATGAGATTTCATTACGCTCAGGCATGGACTCAAACAAGGCTCGCGCCTCATCGAGCCGGCCTAACTGCACTAAAGCCGCAATGTATGCATTCCAAGTTGACACGGACCTCAGGCTCATGCGCGCAAACACAGCTCGAGCCATATCAAGCCGACCACATTTAGCATACATATTAACCAGAGAATTGGCCACCTCAACAAATGCACCGAGCCCGAGCCTCACCGCAATCGAGTGCACCACTCGACCCGGTTTGAGCTCACACATCGAAGCACATGCGCTTATTGCTCCTGTTAATGTGAAGTGAGTGGGGCCCACATGGGCCCCAATCATATCGCGGAAGAACCTTAGAGCCTCTTTATGGTGACCCCACTTGTTATGGCCCACTATGAGAGAGGTCCATGAGACTGAATCCCACTCTGGGATCTTGTTAAAGAGGTGGTGGGCGCTATCAAAGTCTCCAGCCTTGGCATAGGCTGAGATGATAGTGTTCCAAGAAGAGGTGTTCTTTTGAAGCATTTCATCAAACAGCTTTTGTGATGAAGAGAGAGAACCACATTTTGAGTAAAGATTGATGAGTAGGTTAGTGAGAAACGCGCTTGCATGGAGGCCATGCTTTGTTATGTGGGCATGGATGGATTTGGGGGAGGTGGGGTTTCTGGTTCTAAGGCAAGAGTGGAGGAGAGAGGCATAATGGTCGACAAGGGGGGAGAACGGGTTGGAATTGACCATTTTGCCCCTCTGCAATTCTCAGTTTCAATGACATGGTTCACTGTAATGAGGGGCAATATAGTCATTTGCAAAAAGAAGGGGTTCTTGGGGTATTTCACGGTAGGTTGATGGGTGCATGTGGATCAGATGATCATGTATTGAGAAGGAAGTGATACTTCCAGCAATTTCCCATACCACCAAAGGTCAGAGAAAAACATGACAGATCTTGTTGGCACCAAATGCCTTGTGTGTCCTGAGTTTTGGCCACTCTTATTAAATGGTTTCAAGCTATAAGATGGCCATACGGTCTTTAATGGAGGAAAAGGGCGAACCTTGAGTAAGTGATCTTGATTAGTTGGAAAAAGATATTTGACGATGATACTTTTATTAAATGGTTTTAAACTATAAGATAATCTCACTGAGAGTACGATCTTTGATTCTGTGTAGCTAATTTCAATTAGTTAAAAAAAGATGCGGCTGACGAGTAAATCACTTCATGCTTCACTTCCTATTAAGAATTAAAATACCCTAAAGTTTTTCGAGAAAGGAGGTCTTATTGGGAGGTAGAGATGGGGAGGGTAGGGGCGTGTAGGAACGCCCAGCATAGAAATGGAAATTAAGGAGTCTTATCAGGTGGGGTGTATATGTGACTGAGTATGGTCTAAACTTGCAAACGTCTTACCTTTGTACGTGCAAACACCCTTTAAAAAGTTCACTATAAAGCACCATCCAAAAAATGTTCCTAATAAAGAGGGAAGAAAATCACAGTGATCTAGAGAATGCTCTTTGAGATTAGCGTTTAGGTGCGTCCGGAGTGAATTAGGGTAGGGTTTAGGTGCATCTGGGAATGCACTGAAGTAAGGTCTAGGGGTGTTTGGGATGCACATGTTACAAAGAAGGAAGACGTTTGTATAAGGTGGTAATCTTATACCATTGAAGTAAGTCATACCTCAAAAATCCTCTAGATGGGAGTGCTTCTTTGTTGGGGAACTCATCAATTGATCATATATGTATGTATATGAAGAAAAAAAAGGATTTCGAGAGTCATATAACATTCAAGATTTTCAAGTGTTTATATTTCTTGATCTATATTTTTTAAATTTAAAATTTCATATTATGAATGGAAATAATTTTTAAGCCATCATAAAGTTTTGACTGGGGAACTATATTTCGAGCAAATTTTTAGAGGTGCGCCTTACTATGGAAGGTGCCTTTGCTAACCTCACCCTATAAAGAATCTGCCTCCCAAAATCCATCTTCTAAACATATTTTGAATCCAAAGATTTGCATGTCTATCATCTAGACTATTGTGATCATGAATATGGAGCAAAAATAAAGTTTAAGCCTTAAAAATAGACTATCTTGCATTTATTTTTAGATCTTTCAATTTAATTCTTCAAAGGTCATGAGATTTGCCCTCTTTTTGGAGCTCCAAATTTATAGATATGAAGCAAAAACGAATTTACAATGATTTGGTATATATATGTCATAATACCAATCCTAAATCCCTCGTGGTGCAACTCAACAAATGCTTTTTCCTTGAAACATTAGGGAGAACTTACAGCTTTCAAATAGGCCTCGTTACTTGTTCTTCGTGGTTTTGCACATCGAATTTCAAAGAGAAGAATGTACCAATTCTTTATTGTTGGATTTCAATCCCTTCTGAAAGACCTTTTTACTGGCGGGAAAGGGGCTTCTTCAAAATGCTGCTCATCATACAGTTTTTTTTCAAACTATTTGAAGTTAACTACACGAATCCTGATCCACCATCTTTCAAAATAAAACTACTTATTTGAAATTTACAATTTTGTTATTGATAGGTCCATTTTGGCTCTTACATATGTTATGGCAGATGGATGGAGCTCTAAGTAATGACATCAAGGCCAATTGTTCCACATGCTAAGCCCATGAGGCACTGTAGTTTGCAAACAACCTTTCTTCACCATGACAAATAAAAAGAAAAAAGTTTATATAGGTTGCAAGTTTCACCCTTACACTATAAAAATAAAGTGCACTTCAAAAATCCAGTAAAAAGAGCATTTCAAAGTTAGCAAACCGAAAACCTTCCGATTGATCAACTCTCCATCGAGATTTATATATATACATATATATATATATAAAAGAATTTCAAATCTTAAAAACAATGTATTTTATAACAAGTTATCTGGATCGTCTATTTTCAAAAATTTCAAGTGTTTATAAATATGTTTGATCTGCATCATTTTTAGAATTTAAATTTCATAATTAGAGTTCGAACATAAATTTCATAATTAGAGTTCGAACATAGAGTTTCAAACCACTGTAAAGTTTCTCAACCAAAACTACATCTTCTAGTAAAATTTAGAGGTGGCCCTTTCTAACATAGTATAAAGTGGGCACCTTATACAAACCTCACTCATTAAAAACAAAAATGGACATTTATCTCATCCATATGCTATTCATAATGGACAGTTCAGACAAGTGTATTTCATTCGTTGCAAATCACAGGCATCCTGCATGTCTTCCTCATCTCTAATCATAATATTCATCCTTTACAATCTTTCCCACACACTTTGGCAAAACTGTCCTCAAATGCCCTCTTTTGCTGGTAAACTGCCGCTACATAAAATACGCACACGTCTCACGTACATGAGCATGCATATGCAACCATGCACGAGAGAGCAAGAGCAATTGCTCAAACCAAGCTCCAAATTTTGTTTCTCGATTAAGTAAATCATGTCTTCTCAAGAATTATACACCAATTGGACTTGTCATAGAAACGATCGCGAACAACAGCATTGTTGAAACCTGATACCAGCCTGTAGAACCAGCATAAAAACAGAAAGTAGTTGTCAGATACATTTCTATACTACTGTAACCGGAAGAACCCGATACTCTCTTTTCTTAAAAGTTCAAGAGACAAGCACTAAATACAAGCAATAGAAGACAACTGAAAGAAATATCAAGTTTATTTAGTAAACATTTCGAACATTCTATCTAAATTATTTCCCAAAAAGGAAAAGACGAGAATGTGCTTATATTTTGCAGTGCAGTTCAACCATAATGTTCTACTAATCTGACCCTTACTAATCCTATTTAAGGAGTTCCAGCCTTGTAAGAGATGAACAGTACCAGAGTACTGAGTAAATTGCCAAATTTATGCATGATCCAATTCAACTGGTTTTCCTAGGAAAGAACCTTCTTGAGGTATTCAAGATTAAGCAATTTGAACCATAAGAGAACATTTCTGATCGGGTTTGCCTGATTTTAAACATGGCTGGCCTTGTAAATTATAATCATTAAAAAAAAAATTACAAGTAAACACAGCCCCCTTTTTCTCATTTCCTTCAGATAGCTACATAAATAGACACTGTAATGCTCATATATGGACAGCAGGGATAGATGTGGATTCGAATGTAGAGAATAGAACCCAACATCCCATGGAAACAGTTTATATACAAAGCAATGTGAGTAATCGTACATCTCCTCGGAATAAAATACAGTACAAGACACCATTTAGGCCAATGTAAGTACATACTGCTAGTAACGTCCTGTAATATAAACAACAATAGCCCACAGGTGTGCAAGTTGTATAGGGCTACCGTGTGTACCATCAGGGATGCTCATTGGACGCAATAAGTTCGGCACGTAAAGCTGCTGCCCACTGGTGGAGAAGGGTGATTATCGTCAAGAAGATTCTATAGATTTCAGTCTCTTAAATACTAATTTTTTCATATCCATAGAGAAGGCAGTCGGGCTAATTTTGTAGTCCTTTCCATGCTATCTCTGGTAGATTCACTACCACCATTGTAAAAGGTCACTTTGTATTATCCGTATTGTTAGTTACTATATTTAGCAATAGAGGTTTGCTCATACAAGAATAATCCCAGCCAATACCCCATCCAGTAATCACCTCAGTGGTTTTCACCTTCATTGAACTCCACACCAATGCTGAGAAACACATAACTTGCGAGATTCTGCTTCAAGAAACTCAAAACTAGAAAGACTATACTCTTTAAGTTTCACAGGCCCAAAACCGAACAAGAACGTAGATCCTCAACCATTTTAGTGGGGAAAAAGTTTGCAAATCCTGAACTGATTTAGAATCAAAAGCCCCAATCTCTAGCAACAAAAGGGTAACGAGCAGTTGTACATAATGGCTTGCCACATAGTTCACTTCGACGTCTCACATGCAAAAAGCATACCGGGAGTAATTGATTTTGCATATTTTCATATTAGGGGAATAAAAGTTTCTTTTACAGAATTGGTATGCATTTGTATTTACTATGACTTGAATACAATAGGCATTCCTTCGGCCCCAATAATACAGAAACGTTGACACTCATCAATACCAACACCAATAGTGCAGATTGTGACCAGTACTTCTAAAAAACGATTTATGATATTTGAAGTAGTGTTTTAAAATGCAGATCGATGCGGTCCCGATGCAAACGCTCACCTCAATGCGGTGATGAGGTCAATAAATATAAAAATTCCAAAAAAAATTCAAAAAAGAAGTTAATGCTTGGAAAAAAATATGGATGTGATTCATACGATAGTATGTATTTAATTTATTCATGCTACGAAGTCATCAAAGGTCTGACAAAAAAAGAACACAACTCCTTCGGAATCCAGGATGGGGAAGACAAGGAAGGTTCGATTGGAGAGCGCATGGATGTGAGAGGCAAATAAAGCAAACCCTAAACAACTAGACGTTGCAAAAAGCCCTCTTTTGGGCTTTGACAAGACCTGGCTACCATTAGCAAAGCAAAAGCACAAAACCCAGCCATTTGACCTTGCTACCACTGCTAGGCTAACTTGGTATGGTAAGATTTTCATTCAACCTTTTCCCAACCATTTGGTGTCGGCTAACACGAATCCTGGTCCGTCATGCTTTATCAAAGGTCATACCCTCAGTGAGGCCATAAATTCCTATATCTTTTCTCACTACTTCCAACTGTCTTTTTGGACATACCCCTTGCCCCTTTTTGAGCCTAGACATTGAATTTAGTCATTAATAATTGTGAGTTCCATGCACATGCACATCCACATGGACATGGAGACTCCCTAGATGATTTCCGATTGAGATTTGAAAATGAAATTTGAGATTTGAGAGCTGATTAGATTATCTTTTGATTTCTATCATCTTCTATGTTTTGTCTTGACTATTGAACTCTCCATAGACTTTTAATGGTTGTATGTTTCTTTGCTTTAAAGTTTGTAATTTTACAGTTTGCAATTGCAATTATGGTTATTGGATGCTTATGAATTGTGATAATATGATGTCTACTACAAAATTAGTTTCAAGTTTCTACCTTCTAATGTCTTCTATCAGGGAATTCAGAATCTCCAACAAGTGATAATATTGAAGAAAAACATATTTAATTTATTCATTAACTCCAATATTATCACTGTCGGAGGCTCTACATCCGCTGATAGAAGACATTAGAAAGTAGAAAGTAGAAACTTGAAACTAACTTTATAGAAGATATCATATTGTCATAATTCATAAACATCCAATAAACATAAATGCAATTGCAATTGCAAACTTTAAAGTTACAAACTCTAAAGCAAAGAAACATACAACCACTAAAGTCTATGAAGAGTTCAATAGTCAAGACAAAACATAGAAGACAATCGCAATCAAAAGATAATCTAATCAACTCTCAACTCTCAATCTTAAATCTCAATCAGACAAGTCAAGTGCACGTGCATCTATAGCATATGAATGCGAATATATACTCAAACTTCTTCAAAACAACACCCAAGCTAATCCCCATTGACAACCCAACCAACAAAGAAAGCAATCCGACAATTTTGCGCAAAGAAAATTTCCACCCAAAATTTCTCTTCTTTTGATCCAAAAACAGCCACGAATGGGGCTGTTTTTCTTATTTCGGAGGGGTTTAGTACCCCCCAAAATGCAAGGGGGGGGGTGGGGTGGGGGGGAATGACCAAACTATCCACACTTGTGGGCACTATTTTTGCCCACGAGTGTGAGCACGCCATGCGCCCACATATTTGTTGGGATGTGCACTTATGCAATGCGTCTTGGGGCGCATTGTACATTATGTAGCTGCAAAGGCGGCATGAAGCCACATTCTTAAAACAAGAATTTTAGGTTCTCCTATGCACAATGTCAAAGAAAGATTCAAAGAAAGAATGTCATCAAATTCAGGATGTGAACTCAATGCGCTAGGGGGGTCCGACGTGCTATGCAATTCAATGCGTGCTGTACAATGCAGGCACATCACTTCCGATGACCTCAACAAATTTAACATATATATATATATATAGGAATCAAAGAATGACATGAATATGCCATTTGTGTTATAATAGGAATTTCGATTAAGTAGTGATCTTTATTCTTTAATATATTCGTTGTCTGAGTCTCTAATAACCGAATGAAGAGCAACAAAGATATGTTCCGTCACTAAACACAAACATATATGTATTATACCAAGTTACCAACCAAAAACTTACAAAATAAAATAGCATCCAGCAACTAACCACACTGTAGCATAAAGCGATAACCCAAGATGCCAAAAGTACATAACATCCAAAGACCAAAAGTTCATGACATAAAAAATAAAAAATGTGACTACCGCTCAATTGAGAAAAATAAAAGATATAACCCCACACAAATCTTTCAAGACATAGCACAAAATAAGCTAGGACTTTCACCTAAAGAATCCACAAATTTGTCAAAATCTTCAAAATAAAAAAAAGTCAATTTTTTATTTTTTCCACTTCAATCCACTTAGAACCATGAAAAACTGGTGATAAGGGAGCTTGTGGAGAGGTATATACCCCGCTAACCCCAAAAAAAAAAAACCTTTCACCCCGTCTTCATAGAAACAAGGCGAAAAAATACCAATATTCTGAGCACATTAAGTGCATAGAAACAAGGTGAAAAAATAATAGTACATGGGACGTGCATTTTTAAACTCCCTAAACATGCTATGCAGGGAGTTTAAAAATGCATGTCCCATGCTAAGCAGGGCGAAACCCTAAAGCAATGAGGAGAACCGACATGAAGGCCCCTCCACCCCTCATCTCCCTCCCCGCCTCTTTTGGTCCTAACCTCGCTAACCTGTACAAATCCTCTCTGGTCGGCGTCCTCCACCCCCAGGGCAATGACCACAAAGGTGTAGAAAGATGGGCTAAGGATCATTGGAAGGAACCTCAGCTCAAGTGCAGGTGGGTCATACTTGTTCTCTTTTCCATCCATCGCAGTGGCGGTGTCCATCCTTGATCGCCCCTCCCTGAGCTCCTTCAAGGGAGCTTCCCTTCACCTCGCACAATGGATTGAAGATTTGGGAGCCTTCCGTCGGCAAAAAACTTGGAGTATGGCCTCTGGTATTACCCTACACTCCTGGTGCCAAGATACCTTCAAAGCCATCGGTAACGGTTCCTTGGAAATCGATGGAGACCCTCCCGCTTGGGTCTTCTACTCTGTAGATGTCCTCGACCCCCAGTTCATCCCACCTTTCCTCTGGTTGGAAGTGGCCGGAAATTATTTCCGTATTCTCATTTCTTGGTCGATGGCTTCTCTCGCCTCGCCTCGCCTCGCTTCGTTTCTCCGACGGAGCAGTCGTTGAGGGTCTTTCCTCATGGAGAGACTCCAACTCAACCGGCATAGGCTTCCAACCAATGGACCCTGGTCTCTAGAAGAAGTAAAACAAGCAGCATCCACAAACCCCAGCATTTCAGAGGCCATCAGAAAGGTCACCTTGCAATTCCTTCCCAACCTTCTTTACCCAAACAGTCTCTGCCTCCACCCCTGCCACCCTACCCACCTCTTCTAAGCCCTCCTCTG